GTGAGAACAAGTTTGGAGGGTCACTTTGGTTAGAAAGCATTGCATAGCAACATGGTGCTTTTGTTGGTTAGAAACTAATTTTCACTTTGGTTAGAGCTTATTGATTTTTTGGCGTCTTTTCTTCCATATCTTTTTCCGATGAACCAAAACAAAGAAATCTAGTTGGCAACCAATTGTAAATATTTTGTGAATGCTTTTATGCAAGCATCCAATACAAAGCTGCCTCTGTTAGACTGACCTATTTTGACAGGACAAAGGTTAAAGCCTCAGATCATGGTTATCATCATCATCATGTCGAAAGATACGAGGTTAATGTTAGAAGGATGCAACAAAAAAAGACACAGGGAAAAGAAAAATATTTCACCATTCTACTAAAAGACCCAAAGGTTCAAGGAGAAATATGGAGTTTTCTACATTATGTTCAGCTTTTCAAGAGCCACCAACCCCAAGCTAACTTCAACATCATATAAAATTTCCAAATACAAGAACAACATTCATATCACTTAACAAGTACATACAAGAGCACAATCTTCTGGTAACATATCATAAAGATTGTAAGGACCCACACATAAACAAATGAGTGAGAGACTAAACTGTAAGGAAACTTACCTCTTTAACAAGGGCATGGTGCATTTGCAATATGTTTCTAAGATCATCGCCTTCATGAAGTATCATTGAACAATTTGAGCATCCAGAGAACTTAACGACAACTAGCCATGTATCAGGATTGCCAATATCCAAGAAAGGCAGCAGAGATTTTTCTGATATCAAACCAAACCTATGTCTTTCAGGAGGCAGGAAATAATCTCTAGAAATCTTCATGAAGTCCCAAAAAAAAGAATTAAACTTATGGAAGTTTTCTTCTGTACATGGCATGTCTGTATCATCGCCTCCATATGTAGTTCCTTGTGAATCAGTTTTATTTGTCCATCTTCCCAGCAAGGAAGAATCAGCTGGCCCACTTTTGACACGATAAGTTAGTGATTCACTTTCCAAACCCTCCATCTGCTCCAAATAATACACGTCAGGATATTTACATCAATATGTACTGTCATTAGCTTAGTTCTTAAAGAATCTCACTATGAGGTTCATTTAAAATGTACAGGCCACCTTCTGATTAGTCATCTTCTCAAACGACATTTCCCCACCTGCTTCTGCAGAGAAATCTTGCTCCAATATTTCAACTGCAACACTAAATAAGTTGGTGTAAATGGAACTGCATATCTAAGAGACTTGTCATACAGACTTGGAAATTTTGACTTGAACATACAATAAACAAAACTGATCATATCAAGACACTGAAAAGGACTGCAGGCCTTGAGGGTCAATCATAAATTCAATTGGATAATAATACATCTGTGAGAAAAAAAAACACATGGAACTTTCAGTCTAAAAAGGTTGACCAATATATAGGGATCTTATATATACTGAAAAACGCTAACATAAGTGAATTTGACTTTGATTAACAGACAGAAAGAACTTCATTCCAGCATAGTCTAAACACATTTTTGTTCAGAGAAATGACAAGACAAATAACATTTAGGGTAAATTCCCCCCCCCCCAAAAAAAAAAATAATAATAATAATAATAATAATAATAACCCCCACCCCACTTATTTTCTAGCATTTAGCCCTCCTCAATTCATGAGATAGAGGAGTGTTACTTCCAACTTATCTTTCTAAAAAAGGGCATTCAAGAGTGCTAAGTGCAGTAAATGAGTTGAGGGGGTTATTAAAACTCAAGTAATAGACAAGGGGGGTTATGTGCAATCTACTCTAAAATTTAATACGAAAAGCAACAGCTTTGTACTCCCACCCACATGATGACCATAAACACACTTAAGAACTTAATTGTAATTCACGATTACATGTTTGGATGGATAATATTTCTTTGAGCCATTTTCAAGTCCACTGTTATTCAGTATTCTATGGAATAGATTGCTGATGCAAGATGAGGATCATTTATGTCCACTGATTACACAGCATTTATATGTAAGTTTTGACAGTTATCAGTATCCAGGGAATCAATTATATTAGTTATGTTGGCATACCAGTCCCTGAGTTCTTCTGCTCAGCTTGAGTAGCCTGAGTATCTCCATGGTCTCTTCTGTGTAACAATTTGGCTGACCATCCACAGAAGTCAAGAAGAAATACAGCTTTATCTGTTGACTGGGAAAAGGTTTCAAGGTCCTGTTGAGTGTGGATGGGCTTCAAGGGGACCTCCTCGGTCTGAAGTAACATGAAATGATAAACTGAAGACAATATATTCTGTGCACGAAGTCGACCCTGATATTTGTACGGTGTGGAATGATGATAGTAAAATAACGTTATTCCTTCAGAAGCACCAAGAGCATCTGCTAGAAATTTGTCAGAATTTCTATAAACAACCATTAGCTTTAGATATCCTAGTTTATCTCCTTTGCCAGCAACCAAGAGTGCTACTTCTTTCATCAAGGATCGTGATTCCCCAGACCCTGTAGCTCAACAGGAATACTTGTTCAATGTCATAACATTATAGTTCAACCAAAATATTAGATCAGCTTTAACAAATCAGTACAACACATGTGCATATGTAGCATATTAACCTCTACTATAAGGAGGAATAAAGAACATGACCATAAAAAAAGGATAAGAGACTATTAGAAGCTCTGCACTCGTGTACACTCAAACTTCAAGCTGAAAGATAATGTACGCCCAATTTCTTCAAGAACTTATGTCTTTTCCTTCTTATTCTTCATTTGGTGTGTGCGCGTGCGCGCATGTGAGGTATCTTGTAATTTTTTTACAAGTACATGTAAGAATGCTTTTGTCACCATGTGTGTTTCTCCATATGCGTGTGCTCACTAGTTGAAATGTGAAAATACAGGCACCACCCACAAACATGGTCATGCCATGCACTCACATACACCATGAATAAATGCATCTCTCTACATAAAAAAAAAGGAAAAAAGAAATCATATGATCATACATATGCACATCCCAATACACACAGGGACATAAAGATACACATCCAAACGCACACGCATTCATGCTTACCCACAAACATACACATACTCGTTGAGCTACATAAATGTGTTTATCCATGCGTAAACACAGTTAGCTTTCAGGAACTTCATGCTCGCTTATCAAGGGACTAATTCATTCTGTTATTATGAAGACGTTCAATGCAAAGCCACCTGATGCAGCGAAAGAAAGTTCATAAAGCAAATCAAATGGTTTCTCTATTTGCATTCTAGATAACTGCACACGCCAAATTACAATCCTTTATTGATATATAATTGATCCAATGATAAAGCATCTACTTGCAACAACAAAGACGCAACCAAGTAACAAGGGATGCTCAATTTTACTCCGAAGTTGATAATTTCAAATCTAAAGAGAAAGGGGAAAGGGTTTGCTGGAAAATGCTTACATGGGACTGTGATCACGAGGAGGAGATGAGGGTTGGCTCGGATCTGAGATGAGAAATTCCTCTTCGTCAGCGTCTCCCACTCCACCGATTCCGGACGCCGCCGGCCGCCTTCGCCG